GTTACTTTTCAACTAGGGAGCTTTCCTGGGAACTTTCCATGATGTGCTGGATGTCTAAAGAGCTTTGGACGATATGTAGGATACAGCTGCCATAACTCATTGTGACCAATGAACAGAGAGAGCAAAATGGATAGAGAAGTTGAAGATCAAAGATTCCGGCAGGACACGCATATCTGTGATTGGTGATGAATTTCACTGCATTAGAGAAATCTGGCTGACTTCAAAAGATGCTGAACCTCCTGGCAAGGCATAGCAATAACCCCCCAAAGTCAGCGTGCTGTGACACTTGCAGTTTCCCTCAATGTGAGACAGCACTGATTGCACTGCCAAATGCCAGCTAAACAGATTTATTTTCTCTGAGACCACTTTTTCTCTCCCTTGAAGCCTTCTCTGTGCTTTCCAGTGAGGTGTAGTTAAAAGCAAAGTTGGTAGCATGGTTCTGAAGTAGGTCTACGTTACAGCTGGGCAGAAAGTAATTTTGCTGTTCTGTTACAATATTTGACATTCTGCAGTACAGTCCCCTAACACAGATAAAAGCACCCAAGATTTAAAAAAAAACCCTGAACTTTGAGATGCTAAAATTCATATTGTTATAGAATCATGGTATGGTTTGACTTGGAAGGGTCCTTAAAGATCATCTAGTTCCAAACTTCCTGCCATGGGCAGAGACACCTTCCACTAGATCAGGTTGCTCAGAGCTCCATTCAGCTTGGCCTTGAACACTTCCAGGGATGGGGCAGCCACAGCTTCTCTGAGCAGCAATTTTAAAGGTTGATTTCCATGAAATGAAACATTTGATGCTACTAATTATAAAACTTTTATTTTTAGCAAATATATAATTTTTTTTATCTTTACTGAGTCTAATTTTCTCAAAACAACACCCTTAATTTTTCTTTTATGTCACAATATGGCACTTCAATAATTTCTGATTTTTGGCATATGTTGAGTTAGGAAATGAACTGAAAACAATGTTTTCCCGTTGTGTTTTGTTTACTAGGAATTGGAGTGTTTTCCTATGAAAAATGATTTTAAATTTTCCAGCCAACTCCAGTATTTATGAAAAATGATTCACAGCAATGTTCTGTGAATTTTTAAAGCAAAGGCAGCATCAATAGAAGGAGTTAAACACTGCAGATAAAAGCTGGGTGATGAAATAAAGTGCCAATGCCATCCTTATTCAACCTATTCATGCAAAACTTCTTAAAAAGAGGATATTGGAAAAAATGATCACTAGCTTTTCAGTAGATTGTGGAAAGATGAGAACATCATCCATAGAGACATGACTGGATTCAGTTCTTGAAATACTGCTTATGTCCTCTCCTCTGGAAATATCATGTGGAGGATGATGAGGAAAGAGCCCCATTTATCAAAATGGGAAGGGATGAAGGTTTCCTGCCCTACTGAAAAGGCTTAGGAGGAGTGTTAACCCAAGCCAGAAGAGTAACAGATCTTGGCTCTGATTCCCAACTTCCATAAACTGCAAGGATGAATATTCGATTTTGAGCTTGGATTCAGACAGTTTCAAGAGCAATTATCCATCCATGCTCTGTAATTCAGCTATGAATTGGTCTTCCAACTCTCCTCTCATTAAGGTCTGAGTTTCTATTTATTTGGATTTCAAAGTCCATTCCTGCTGTTGCCGTCTTGACTTTTCCTCACACTGCAAACATCCAAGAAGGTACACGGAAAAGGGGGTTGATCCAATATCTTCTTTATTTAAGACAGGAAACGTGTAAGCAGATGATCTATTAATACAGCATTTATTAATACCCTCCTCACACACAGGAACCGAAAATCACAAGGCTGGCTTTGAAGCTGGGACTCCCTCACAGCAAAGTTTCCAGCAAAGTGCAGGTGCCTGCCATATGAGCAGAGCAGACCCTGGGACCACGAGTGAGCAATTTGATGACTGCTTTGTGCTCAGTGCCCGGAGTAGATTCATGTCAAGGTGACACTTCCCTGGCTCAGGTCTCCCCTTGTCTCTTACTGAGGAGCTGTAGATATTTTACTCCTGCAGGTTCCTTTTCTTACTTTTTTTAGTGCCTGATAGATGTTGTTCCTAAACACTTTTGCAGGTGATTACTGTGGGGAATTAGTAAGCTTCTTATTCACACCTTTCTGTCCAGCCCCTCTTGACTTGCATAATTCATTAAGCCAGAGGAAACAAGCGATCTCACAAAGCCCTGGCCAGCCCTAGAGGGGCTTTTCAATGGTTTAAGTTAATGATCGTTTTGGGAAATGTCTGTGTAGCTGTTAAGCGTTTTGAGTCCCCTCCCATTCTTTCCCCTGTTAATAGGTGATTGTGCCACTGAGACGTTCCCCGAGAGAACCCTTAAGGTGAAGTATGAGCCTTGTTGCCTGTTGACATGCTGGCTAACAAGGATGAGACATCAGACTTAGGTTCCCAGAAGCAGTGCCTAAATTTTTGTGGTTTTCAAGCACTATAAATTTTGCTTTCTAGCACAGGTGAGGTTTGAACCCCTACCTGCAAACACTCATGTCCCAAGTGTCCCTTTCCAGTCCTAGGGACATTGGTAAAGGAAAATACAGATGTGAAAGAGGCCCTGAAGCCTTCAGATCTGCCAAGTTCCAACAAGTTTCTCGACTCCTCCCCAAGGTGGATACGTGGAGTCAAGGCATGAATGAAGGAGTAAAGCTTTCTGGCTAAATGATACAGTTCCAGCGATGCTGCTTCAAGGGCGTGAGATCAAACTCCAATGTCCACACTTTTCGTGTTTCAAAGGAGCTTTCCCAGGTGCTTTAATTTGCTTTTGGTCCTCAGATTGGTCCCTTGCATATGTTTGGCCTTGGCTCACCAGCATCTGTCCAAACAGTTTCCAGGCACCGTTGGGCAACCAGCACGGCAGGGGCCATTCCCAGTTGGCAGTTTGGATATAGCTCCTCTGTTTTGGAAAGTGGGAGAGTTTAATGAATGGATGCAGGTATTTCTGTGCCAGTTGGCCTCCAGGGCTAGAGAACAGTCCGGGTTTAATTTTCTAAAAGAGACATAGCCTCGGGTCTCCTCCTTATCTCTGCCATTAACTTCCTGGGTAGTGAGGGCTTGGCTGTTTACCTATAAAAACGACTTTGTGAAAATGGAGCTTGCATGAAAGAATGGTTTCAAAGACTATTTATTATGAATATGGTTCTTTTTAACCTAACAAGTCATTCACAAAGTGATCTTGGCTTCCTTGGACTGAGTTAGTGTTCAGAGACATTCACTGATCATTTACAGCAAGAAACATTCAGGCTCTGGTTTGTTTTCTTTGCTTCCTTTTTGCAGTGGGGACCGGCCAGCTGAGAGATCTGCTTTTGTTTTCCTCTCCTTGATTTGATGATTGAAGCTTTTCAAACAGATCTACAACTCACGGCAAATATCCAGGATGAATTTCTATATAAATAAACACTTGGGATGAGGTTATTTTGAAGAACAGCAGTGTCAGTGCCTCTAAATGGCAAATAATAGAGTGAACTGAGCCCAATCACTTTTTTTCCTGGAGTTGGAGAACTGCTATCCCTCCTGTTAACCTGTGCCTCTCTGTTTTGTGGTCTTTCCTGGTGCTTCTGAAGCACCGGGTAAGACACAGTAAGGACTGGTTAAGGGTCAGTCCAGGTCCACAGTGAGAAAAAGGAGAGTCTTCCCATTAAGTTTCCTTTAAGTGGGGTGAGGATCACTCCAGTTCTGGCTGCTCATGGGATGTGGGCTCAGGGGAGGTCAGCCCCTTACAGGGATGTCCACACTCAGCCTTTCCCAGGCGGGGATGTCTCGGGAGACGTGCTGGAGGCAGGCTTGTGTTGCCTAAGCATAGCTCTTGGCTCCATTGCTTGCTCATCTGTGGCTTTGCCTTCACTCACTTGTTTCCTCAGATGAGTTCCTCTGCCTGCTTATTTGTGTTAGGAAAATTATCGTTCTTGTGTTTCGGTCTGTGTCGCTTCCTCTGGGCCTGTTTTGTTATTGCACCGAGGGATGTCTCTAATGAAGTGGACGGAAGGAGGAGGACTCAGGGCTTATTTTTATCCTATACATAGGAAGTTGGCCAGGACAGGGAAAAACAGAGCAGAAAGTCCTCAGAGCACTTCCACCCCTCGGGGCTGGAGACAGCAATCCCCACAGACCTGGCTCAAATGTTCCACTGCTGCCCAGGGACGCTGCCGAGGGAGGGAAACTTTCTCCGCAGTTTTGCTTGTTTGTTTTTGAAAGGAAGAGCGTGTGCTGCTTCCTACCACAAGGATGGGGCTTTCTGCCCTGCCATTGCTGCCATCCATGCTTCTTTTATTAAGGAATTGAACCTCAGACTACCAGACTGACTTAAAAAAAAAAGGGAATTTGTATATGTGTGTTGGTAGTGTGACAGCACCATGGGGCCCTGACAGGGCAGTTACATCACACTTTTCTAAAGGGATGTGGGAGCTGGTCCAATGAGCCTCAAACCCAAACTGAACAGACAGAATCAAGGCAGCAACACACGGCAGAAATGAAGAAAAATGTAGTGATTATGCTGGTACCAAAGAGAAGAGGATAGGATTAACCCAGACCTTGTGGTTTTTTAGTTTGCTGGGAAAAGGGGTGATGGCTTTAAGTCAAAGGAGAGTAGGTTTAGCTTCGATATTAGGAAGAAATTCTTTACTATGAGAGTGGTGAGGCACTGGCACAGAGAAACTGTGGCTGCCTGTCCCTGGAAATGTCCAAGGCCGTGTTGGAGCAACCTGGTCTATTGGAAAGTGTCCCTGCCCATGGCAGAGGGTTGAAAGTCCCTTCCAACCCCAAACCATTCTGTGATTCTATGATTCTCTGGTTCTATGATTCTGTGATTCTGTGGTTCTATGATTCTTCGATTAATGGCTCATTAGATCACACTGTTATCCTAGAAATTTTGGGGAAACTGAGGCACGTGTTTTAAGGCCAGATGTTTGCCTTGCATTCCCATTTTTTTTTGTCATATTTAATCTCCTTTCCAGAAGACTGCAGGCTGTATTTTTGCCTTTTTTTTTTTTTTCAGTGGTCACATCCAAGGAGAGGAGCAACAGGCTAGACAGTCGGAACTCTCCCACGCAACTTCCCTGGCACAGACCAGCATCACCACTGAGCATCTCCCTCCTCTGCTGCTGGTCCTGTCACACAGCTGGGCTTCAAAAGAGGATGCTTCTCTCCCACGTGCTTCAAAGAGAAACCAGGAGCCACAGAACAATTACTCCCACTCACAAGACGAGGGGAAATCCTCTTCTAACAAGGGATCATCCTGTTACAACGAGGATGTCTGGTGATTTATGACTTGCTACTTTAAACTCTCCTTCCCCTATGAAGAAACACAGGAGACAGCAAAGCTGGAGGGAGATACAAGAGAGAACTGACTCTGGCAATACTTGAAATATAGTGGGAGAGCTGGGAAAACCCTTTCTTTCTGTCCTCATTAGCATGACTTAATTAATACTTACAATCTTATCAAACAGAAGTTACCATGCAGGAGGGATGTGCAGGCTGGAAATTAAAGCTTTAATAAATAGATATTTTAAGACCAAAAAAGCACCACTGTAATTTTGTCTGGCTTCCTGTGTAATTAATGCCAGAGATAGACCTTTTCAACTAAAAAAAAAAAAAAAGTGGATTTAATGGGGAAGTATTGTGATATTTTTGGGTAAAACTTGTAACAAGAAAACTTTGAGTGGTTTATTCTGCAAAATCCAACTTATCTGCACTTGACAGGCTTCTATTTTCATCTTCTATTCTTAAGCATCCTCTAAATCCCAAAGACTACCTGCTCTGTAAGGTTTATACATCCATTTTACTAATCTTTTTTCTCTTGTTGACCCAAACTTTAGAAAAAAATATCTCAAGCTGGGGCAAAAAAAATTGGCTTTTTTTGATGCTGAAAAACTCTTTCAACTTACATTAAACACTGCAAAAATTAATATCTCTGCCATCAGTTCTGTTATTGTCTCTGACATTTTTATAGATATCCCATCTCATTTAATTTGTGTTGTGTTTGTGCCTTAGTCTGGGTCTTAGGAGAGGTGACATCTCTTAATCTCAAGAATATTTTGTCATCCTGATGTCTAGTGTGGCAGTAAGACAAGTTGTCCCCACAGGAATCAAGAGGAAACAGAGTTAAAGCAGAAGCTCCTCTGTCACCCTTGGAAATTGAATGCCAGGCCAGCTTGTGTTAGGAGCAAGCTCATCCAAAATAGCTTTTGAATATAGAGAAGGTCATGATTTTAATCCAGACTGAGTCCATCAGTCTCAGAGGATTTTACACCAACATCACTGAGATTTGAATTTGCACCAGAATGTTAAGAAGAGGCCATTAACAGGATAGATTTCTCAGTGCTAAAGGGGGAGAGAGTAACTGTGAATTATAAAGCCACATCCTTAGTGGTGGCTATAAATTTGGATAAACCTCCTCCCCCAGTGCTCTGGATTCTCACATGCTGTCTCATCAGGCTGCTTCCCTCTCACTTGTGAAATATATTACAGTAGCCAAATTACCAGGGGATGAATGACCTCAATAAATTCAGTCATTCTGCTCTAAGAGAAGATACCATGCTGTGGAGAACAGAGTGAGAATGCATTTTTTCTCCCCAGACTTGCAATTATTCCCATTGTGTGTCAATTTTATTGGCAGGTGATTTTTTTTTCCTCCCTTGGTTGGCCCCAATTTGAATTTTTCCATTCTGCTTCCCACTGTAAATGCCTTTTCCAATCACTGTATTTTAGCTTATATCAATGAAGTCTGTACAGGGTAAGAGAATAAAGCAGGACAGGGCCTCAGCTGGTGTATATCTACCTTGCTCAACACATTTCAAGAAACTCCCTGATGCTCTGACAGCTCAGGATCCATGCAGTGCTGTGAACATTGGACATAATCCTACCTTATTTTTTTGTAGACAGACTTGTTAAGCTGCACATGGGAGAAGTTGTCCCCTAAGTTATTAGAGGAATTTGATTGTTTCTTTTTTTTTTTTTTTTTTTTGCAACATGTATTTATAGAGAATCACAGAATCTCAGAATGGTTTGGGTTGGAAGGGGCCTTTAAGATCATCCGGTTCCAACCCCACTGCCATGGGCAGGGACACCTTCCGCTAAAGGTGCCCCTCCAATCTGACAAAACTAAATATTTATGTCCAGAGAAAAATTTTATACAGATTCAAAATCAGCCCATCTTCATCTAAAATTCAGCAAATGCTTTTCATCTGCCTGGTAACTTGACTCAGTGCTCTAAGCAAAGAGCCTGGGGCAATGGCATCTGAGAGGCTCCCAACAGCAGCAAGAGAAGTTCAAACCTCACTGGGCAAAATATCCTGAGCTCCCTGGGGAAAGCCTCTGAATGGCAGGAGAGGCAGAAAACAGGTGAGAAAATCTCTACCCCAAATCCCTAAGCACTGTGGGGTTTTTTTAACAAAATCTTGTCAATATTAATGTAGCTTCTCTTCCAACTGAGAGCAAACAGAAAGGACTAAAAGTTTATTTCAGCATCCATACAGACAGCTCCAACATTTCTGAGGAAACAGATGCACAAACCCTATGCTGAGAAGAGAGGAGGTACAATTTCCATGAGAGACAATTTAAACCCAACAAACTGATAACGAAAACTAAATTCATTACTTCTTTAATCAGCTTCTGGATAACCGAAAAAATAAACCAAATAAACCCAAACCACCAACTATGAGTAGCATCTGTAAGAATCATGGAATTATAGAATCATAGAAGGGTTTGTGTTGGAAGGGATCCTAAAGATCTTCCAGTTCCAATCATCGCTGCTCTGGTTCAATTCCAAGTGAATCACCACCGTGTCTGGAACTGACTCTTGCCTCATCAACTTATAACCTTATAAGTAAAATGTGGACATCTGTTCTGAACTTCTCATGGAGTCTGCCCCTGAAGCATCTGCAGTAAGACTGACACTTGTTGTTGGGGGATGATCTCACACCATGACACCCCATGGGGTCCTAATGCCAAAATGACATAATGAAGAATCGTGACCACAGGGCCTGGAAACATTGAAGATCGTGTTGGACAGGGCTCTGAACAACCTGATCTAGCTGAAGATGTCCCTGCTTATTGCAGGGGGATTGGAATAGATGAACTTTAAAGGTCCCTTCCAACACAAACCGTTCTATGACTTTATGACCTTGGACATCTGAGATTTGATGGCTTGAGAAAGGTCTTACTGATGGATTTGTTCCCATTCTTGCATACTGGAAGAGGACCTGTGGTGTTTGCTTTCTCCCCAGTCAGTGAGCTGGATCATGCAGCAGCTCCCATGCCAGTTGAAGAGCCTCAGTCCCCACTTGAGATCCAGCCATGGAGCTTGAGAACCAGTTTGACCATTGCAGTCAGACCTGGTGGAGACAGTAAGTCTTCGTTTTGTGCACACTGCTTTTGTGTGAGAGCAAAGCACGTGAAAAGGCTCCTCCCTAAAATCTCTGACCAGAGTAATTGCTCCACAGCTCATTACCAAAGTCAGCAGTGTTGCAGTACTGGAAAGTTCATTCCCTTTTTCTTATCATTAAGATCAGAGACGGAGAGAGATAAACTAAAAGTCAATGGCAGAACAGCCCTCATTTCTCTAGGATGAAGAACAAATGTGGAAGGTCTGATAAGGCAAACAAGAACCCCCCAGCAAGTACTGGAGCCTTGGTGGAGCTTTGTCTCATTCCAGTTGGTGTTGGAGCTGTTACTGAGCAGGGCCGTGGTGGTGGCTGCAAGAGCATTCATTGCCCTTAGTTCTCAGAGGCAGAAACCCACTGAGATCAGAAACCCACACTAGAGCAAGAAAGTCTTGCAGCTACAGTTGCCCAAATCTACACTTCCTTGTAGATTTTTGATTATTCTTGAGCAATTTTAATTTCCTGTCTGGTATTCTTGGTATTATCAATGTCAGTTTTTTCTCTCTCATCAGACATAAGGCAAGATGCTCTTGATAACACCTGCATCAGCTTCCAGCTTGATTCTTTTTCCCTCTGACCTGAATCATGGTCTCACAGGAAAGGGTCAATGGTATCCTCAGGTGAATTAGGAGGAGCATTGCCAGCAGGTTGAGGGAGGTGATCCTGTCCCTCTGCTCAGCCCTGGTGAGGCACATCTGGAGTGTTGTGTCCAGCTCTGGGCTCCTCAGGACAAGAGAGACATGGACCTCCTGGAGCAGGTCCAGAGGAGGGTGACAGAGATGATGAAGGGACTGGAGAATCTCTCTAACAAGGAAAGGCTGAGGGAGCTGGGGCTGTTCAGCCTTGAGAAAAGACACTGAGAGGGGACTCATCCATGTCTGTCAGTGTCTGCAGGGAGGGGGCAGAGGATGGACCAGACTCTGCTTGGGGAGGCCCAGCAGTGGGACAAGAGGCCATGGGCACAAACTGATGCCCAGAAAGTTCCATCTGAATATGAGGAAGAATTTCTTTCCTCTGCAGTGACTGAGCACTGAACAGATTGTCCAGAGAGGGTATGGAGTTTCCCCTACTGGAGATATTCCAGAACCATTTGGACACAATCCTGTGCCAAGTGCTCTGGGATGACCCTGCTTGAGCAGGGAGGATGGACCAGATGACCCACTCTAGTCCCTTCCAACCTGACCCATCCTGTGACTCTGTGATTCTGAGATTATTTCAAAAATGCTCTATTTGAGAAGGCCAAGGGCAAATTGGGACACCCATGTTCTGCTTGTGCTGCTGTGACAAAGGGAAGAAAAGGTTGCTAATGTGGGATTCCCCTTAGAGTTGTTTCATCTTACGTTGTCACTGTTAAAAGAGAGTAGTGCTTTTTCTTTATCCTCTCTTTTATGACATCTAAAGGTTGAGAGAAAACAGGATACAACATTAATAGAAAGCTAAAATTTTGCTTTAAAGCCAAATCCTTTCATAATGCCCTTAAAATCTCAGTGACTGCAAAGTTTGCAGGAAAGGGTGATTTCTTCAGTTTTCTAATATCAGCTGATAAAGTTGCAGGGAAGAAGAAAAGGTGCTTTGGGGCACATGAGTCTTTCTTTAAATCTCTGTAGATTTTGAAATGTCATTGTTCCCTGATTTACCTCATGAAACATAAACTTTACTAAACATGGTACATTAACGACAAGGTGTGCAAATGTGCCTTTTCAACTCTGAAACAGAGTTGCTTCTGTTCCAGACAGAGCTACCTCTTTGGACCCAAGATGACAAATAATTCAAGTTTAAACATAGGTAGTTGTTTGTAGGCCCCAAGACACTTCATGGCAAATTCGTTCCAGCTCCTTTTCTCAATGTCCCCATACAAACAGGACCAAAATGTCAATGCCAGGAACAAGAGAGGAGACAGTTACGTACAGTCTGAGGATATGAAGCCACAGTGACTTTTATATATACATAGACACGTGTATATATGTATGTATGTATATGTATATAAATTAAGAACCCTGAAACTTAAATCCATATGCCAGAAAGCCTGCAAACAGACAGAAAGCTGAGGGCATTTTGGAAGAAAAGGATATTGCTGCCTGCCAGTGTGAGTGTAAACTGCACATAGGTTTAGTATCTGATGCTTTGGGGGTTTGAGATTTTCAGCTGGGTAGTTTTCATCTAAATAGAAGTCAGGTGTTTTTCAAAAGGCTGCTTTTTTTTTTTTCTTTTAATGCATCAAAGTATTTTTCCAACAGAAAAGGACTGGCTTTTCAACCAGAATGGAAATTTTTAATTCAATCTGAAATTTTGTTTATGTTAGGGGGGGAAAAAAAAAGTAAAAACCAACCATGAAAACATTCTCAATAAAAATGCTGGCTTTAGATCAAAAACCCTGTTGAGATTT